AGTGATCTTTCCAATAGTATGTTCTGAAATCACACACACACACACACACACACACACACACACACAGAGAGAGAGAGAGAGAGAGAGAGAGAGAGAGAGAGAGAGATTGATTCTCTTTATATGCATACTAGGAACCTGGCTTAATTTCTCTTTCTCAGGATCTGAACCTTACTTCATATCCTGGTTTGTAAACAGATTAAACTTCTGCTTCTTACACATAATGGAAACAGTGACATCCAGGCATCAGAGTTCTGGAACTTTGTGGTCCTTTTTTTCCTCTCTGTTCACCTCCATCCTCTGGCTGACTCACCTTTTATTCCCCACCCCCTTTTTTTTGGTCTATTCTGCTTCTCCAGTAGAACAGGATAGAAATCTGAGCAGCAATAATCTGGCTGACCACTAGAGTTAGTTTTTTTGTATCTCTTTGCTTCCATCTAGTGGTTGTCTATATTTTTGCAACAGCCCAAATATGGCAGTTCTCCATTCATGATGTCCTATAGGATGGAACTAGATGCAATGAGTTGACTGCAGAGGGTGGTGAAGCAGAAAGGAAGCACACAAGACAAAAGAAATAGTTGAGCCTGGGGCAAGCTTCCAAGCCTTTTTAATTTTTTTCTTTCAGTGACTTCCACTGCTAGTTAGAAAGAAAGAAAGAAAGAAAGAAAGAAAGAAAGAAAGAAAGAAAGAAAGAAAGAAAGAAAGAAAGAAAGAAAGTTTACTACTGGGATAGCTGATGCTGTAATTACCTGCTGTAAAAGGCCCAAAATCCCACATATATGAAGGAAAGGGATGGAGGAAAGAGGAGAGCAAACACAGATGGTTGTGTATGTATGATGAAGAAACATGTATGTGAGAGAAAGTATAGGTTTGCTGAGAAGTCATCTAATATTACTGTTTATTTTTCTAGTGTTTTTAATTGGAGGTGCATTTAGTTGTAATTCAATAAAGTAACTTCTCGTGACTGTCTTCCTTTCTTTCATCATAGCTGCCTTACTTAATGGATATGCTAGTGACATAATTATTACTAATTAGTATAACAAGAACAGTTAAACTGTAGTCCCAAGAGGAGGAGGAAAAGAGAGTAGATTCTGTGGAAAAATACTGCTTTAATTTAATAAACCATGGATTACAACACTATAAGTATTCTGTCTGAGATGGGTCTGTGTTTCTTTTTCATGTGGGGACAATGGAAGTTCCAGAGCCACAGCCTGAAGATTGTAGAGATGAAAATGTGTTGTTTTCTCATAAAGTTACTAAACCATTCAACTATTTCAGTCAGTTGTCCACTAGTAAGTTGAACCTTTTTAACCATTTTCTTTTTAAAAGATATCCTCTTTTTGTTTTCTTATGAGGTATGTTAACTAACTATGGCTTTCAGTGATGTCCTTGAAGCAACATTAAATCGCCCCATTGTAGCTGCTAAATAGTATTTCAAAAATAGACAATGTACAGTTTTCTTTTAAGTAGCAGTATACCACATCAACAACCTAGTTCATTCTGCAAAATACAACTGCTTTGGCATAATATAATCATTGGAGAGATCATTAATATTCCACAATATGTAATCCATATTTATAATGAAGGAAGTTCATTGTAACTGAGCCTTAGAGATAGAATTTTTCTTTATAATTGCAGTTGTCATTTTAGGTATTTCCTCATGATGGAGCCATTTGTACTAGCAATTCTGCCAGCAAATATTTGGTAAATGTTCCTTGCCCTCACTGTTATCTTTAGACCCTTTACATATTTGTATTTAAACATGTTTGAGTTAAACTGCACAGCCAAGCGCATTTTGGATGCACATCAGCAAGCAAAACAACCATTACACGTGCTTTAAAATACAAGGTTTATAAGGTGTGTAAGTTATTATAATATATACAGAATAAATTATAATCAGTGATTAATGCTTTAAACAATTGTGGGGATCCTGGGAACTAATATCTTGTAACTGGAGTTCTTGAATCATTCAATGGGGAAAAATTCTCCTATAAATTTTATCAACATTTTCTTCATACAGGAAAACTGAGCCATAAGTGATCTTCAGATGAAGATGCAACATGGCCAGCAACCATTACACTTAGGTACAAGCATTCAGGGTCAGCACAAATTTGGCTCATAGTCACTGTATAATCTGAAGGTAGCTCATTTAAGGTTCCCCAATCCCACAAGCAGATATCCATTATAAGAGTGATGTCAGAGCTTGAATGAAAGAAATGATAGAACAGGATTTGGCGAAGCAGCACCCATAAGAACCCCAAATGCAAAAAGACATTCAGGATCATATTGGAAAGAACATAAAAAAGAACAAACAAAAAATATTTCCATATTTTCTGAAGTCTGAAAAATCAGGAGTGTTTATGAGTTTTTAACACAAGCAGGACATGAGCAGAAAAAAAAATCTGTCTGTCTGTCTCTATCTCTACCATCTATCAACTCACGTGATCAGTTCCTTTTTGAGATCTCTTGAGTGGAGCTTGGGTTTTGGACTAGGTTCTGAGACATCTGAGGATTTTTTTTCCTCCAGGCCTTCAGGACAGATTGCAGGATCTTTCTGAAATAATAGAAGAGACTGTTATTTTGAAGCATTGCTATCTTTTAATCCATTTTTCCCCAACCTGAAGCCCCCCAGAGGTTGTGGACTTCACATTTTCAGCTACCTAATCTCAGCTAACTCAGAGGAGATAGGAACTGCTGAAAAGAAACATATTTCTAGTTTAGTGCTATTTCACACAAATCTGTTTAAAATGTAGGGAAAAATGCATGGAAATTTTGATTTCTTCTTTTTCATGTGTACTCATTGAAATAGATCCTTGGTTAGGTCTCAAGGGAGAAAATGTGCAAATTGCGCACAATTTATAAAAAGTGCTATATTTTTTAATTGGTTTTATTATTCCTTATTCTGTTTACTTTGTCTGATGAATTACTTTACCAATAGAAGTTAATCAAAATAAAGGAATGTCTGATTTTATAAGCTGGTTCCTAGTTTGTGGTAAGCCATAATGTGCTTTATTTGGCTTTGGTTTCACAAGATATGTGATTGCAGCCAATGTAATTTAGCTTCTGCCTTGCATGTTGCATGCCACTATGATTTGCTCCACAAACTATGGCTTAACAAGTTTTGTGAATCCCACTGTAGTATCTGGGCAGAAAAAGTAATCAGCATGTTCACCATTGGAGAACTTCAATACCAGACAATGATTTCATGGTCACCTTAGATCAGCTGTCACCTTAGATCAAAGACTGTACTCACAATTTTTGTATCAGCTCAAATACAAAAGATACCTATTGGAAATACATTTATTAATGTGACCTTATCGGTACAATCTGTCTTTAAACCCAGAAAACTAGAAGCAAACTCCCTAGCATATACACCCTTATTATTTAATACAAAGGTATATTAGACAGACATTGGTGGGCTCTAGGCAGCTAGTATGAACTAAGGTAAGGGGCTTACAAGGTATGGGTTGTTTGTTTTTTTCTTTTAATCTGCTTCTCCCTATTCTGTTTCTGAAGTGATCTCTTAGGCTGACTGTATGTGTGGGTATATGTGTGTAGTGTTATTTGGGAAGCTCACATAGTAACATAGTTCTTTGGATCCTTGCCAGCCTCCATATTCCTACCCATTCAAGGGGAGGGGGGAAAAGACCCAAATGAAATTCCATTAATGTACAGATGGACATTTATATTGATTTCTGCAAAGACCAGAACATAATGACAACACAAATAACAGATAATAGCATCTGGCACTTTTAACATTTTAAGCCTTGAAATCTTTGGAAAACTGACAGTTGAACTAAACTAAAAGCTCCAGTTATTTCTCAGCATTTTGGTTGCTTGCAGAGAGAGTATCAGCTTTTTCCAATTCAGGATTTTATTATTTATTTATTTTTGAGGAGAGCATCTGGACAGGCCTACTATTTCTTAGTTGGTTAGGGAAAGAAAAAAAACTTCTAGAAATTACCTTCAAGCTGACAATCAGTTGTGTGTGTGTGTGTGTGTGTGTGTGTGTGTGTATATATAATAAAATTAGATGCTGCACCTAATACAGTATCTTTATAGTTCCCTGTTTTTGACTTAAGACTTTTATCTACATCCAGCATTATTTGGAGCTAATACATTTCAGACATGGATCAGACACAAAATTATTCACATCAAAGGATAAAGTCCCCCCCCGCCCCCCACATTCCCTCATGTATTCCCAAGGCCCATTAGGACAATTCTTTTGGTTCATGAATGACCCAAGTATGCTACCCTTCTTTTGCCTTTATACTTGCCTCTATAATGCCAATATAAACACCTCTATTTGACTAATGTTTTCTGTAAAACTTTAGTTTCAGTTTACAACCATTTTCAGCTGTTCCAGATGTTGGAAACCTTACTTACCCAGAGACTCATTCTTGAGGATAGGGATAAGTATTATCAGAAAGAATCATAGAATCACAAATCTATGCGTTCGACAGGACCTTAGGCAATGTAGTTCAACTCCTGCTTAGCGCTTGACAGTCCTTACCATTAGGAAATTCCTCCTAATATTTACCCTTTCTTTTAATTTCAGTTCCTTAATCTTTGTCCAGCTTTCAGTTTCAACAGAGAACAGATATGTCCCATCTTGCATATAACAGCCTTTTAGGTATTTGTATACCACTGGCATATTTCTCTTAAACCTCTCTTTTGCAAGTGAAATGTGAACTATTCCTTATAAGGATTGGTCTCCAGACTGCTTACCATTCTGGTACCTCTCCTCTGAACCTGTTTCAGCTTCTCCACATCTCTTTTAAACTGCATGAGATAGTACCTCCTATGATCTGGATGTAATGCTTCCATTAATACAGTCCAATGCTTCATTTATCTTTTTATTAACTGATGCCTTCTACTGCTTGTTCATGTTTAGCTAATGGTCCACTAGTTGTCCTACATCCTTCAGACAAACACTGCTGCCAAGCCAGGTCATCAAATTCCTGTATTTATGAATCTGATTTTCTTCCTTACCAGAAGCACAGCTAGTTGGCCTGGTGCTCAAGCCTGTCAAGATAATTTGGACTCTGGTTTTGTCATCGAAGGAATTAGCCAGCCTTCTAGCCTGGTGTCAGCTACAAATTTGATAAGCATCCCTTCCATTCCATCTTGTAAGGATACTTATAAATATGTTGAATGGTGCCTGACCAATGATGGAGCCCATGATACTTTTTTCCAAGATGATGGAGAACCATTTAATGAGCACCCTTTGGATTTGGTTGTTCATACTGCAGTACTGTCAAGATCAGATTTATTCAACTTGTCCATAAAGATAAAGAGAGACTATATCAAATGATTACTTTACTGAGATCAAGTAAAGTAAATTTACTGCATCCACAACATTCATCTACCAAACTAGTTGCTCTGTCATAAGAAGATAAAAGTTTACTGTAGCAGAACTTGTTCTTATGAAACTGATACTGGCTTTTGGTAATGATAGCATTTTTTTCTATGTGTTCATAGAGACGTTTGATAGTATGTTCTAGTACCTTGCCCAATATAGATATAAAACCAACTGGTCTGTAGTCTCCTAGGACCTCCTTTCCCCCTCTTTTGAGTTCTAAGACTATGTTTGCTGTTCTCCAATCTTCCAGCACCTCACCAATTCTCAGGATTTTTAATCAACGGTTAAATCTGTTGATTTCTCCCCCACCCCCCATGTTTGCTTTTGTTTTTGTTACATTTTAGTTCTTCCTTGTTTCTCAGTTCTTCTTTTCTGTATACTAAAATCAATATAAATGCTTAAAAATAAAAATAAGAAACACTGGAATATCATCCAACTGACTTCGGAAAGTTAAATTAATTTAAGCTAGCTTTGTGGATGCTTTTAATAGCTCTTCTCTTCTCTTCTGAGACAAAAAAGATTCAAAGAAGCTGTTAAGCAGTTCCACCTTCTCCCTATTTCCCATTATTACCTTTCCTACTCAATAGACCAACTGTCTCATTTATTTTAGACATCACCAACTTCATCTCATAATATTTTGCATTCCTTACCAGCTTCATCTTATTCTGAGTTCTAGTCTTCCTGACCCCATTCCTTAAGGTCTAAACTACTGATTTGTACTCTTCCTTGATTATCAGTCCCTAGTATCATTTTCTACGCATTTTTTCCCTCTAACTTTGTCAGTGAACTCTAGATTCATCTTACGCCTTGCCCTTTTTCCTTGTGATGCAATCATTTGTGCCTGATTTCAGCATCTTGTTTTTAGGATCTTCTATCCCTCATTTACTTGCTTATCTGTAGCATTTTTAAGACATGATGTGCTGTCCACCTTTCATTTCAGTTCATTACAAGTGCCTTCCTCAAGTCCAAGGTGCATGACTGATTTCATGCAGCTTTTTCTTCCCTTATTACCATTAACTCCAAAAGATTATTGTTGCTTTTGTCCAAGTTGCCTGTCTCTTTCAGTCCGTTTCTCTCTATTGGTCAGGATTGGATCCAGAGTACCTAACTACCTTGTCAGCAGGAGAGATCAGAAATCTGTTGGACTCCCACTCCTAAATGATTATCTGTTTCTATCTCTTTGCAGATAAAGATTCTCATTACCACTATAGTTGAGAATGGTGAATTGATTTTGACCATATCCTCTACCTGGATAGGTGGCCTGTAGTTAATTTCCACAATAGTATCATTTATTTCTTACTCCTTTTAATCTTACTCAGATGCTTTTAACCAAATTTTTGTGTTAAAAATATGGCATGAATATTTTCACAGTTGTATGCTTATTTACATGTAAAACCACTCTGCCTCTCTTTTTGTTAGGTCAATTTTTTAAAGCATTTTTAAAATATCATTCAAGGTGTCTTTTCTAATCATGATTCTAATTGCATCAGGTTTCTGGAATATCTTTAGGTCATATTTGCTTTCCTAAGTTAAGATTTCTAGTTCTACCTCTTTGTTGCTATCCATGTCCCGTGCACTAAGATAGATAGATAGATAGATAGATAGATAGATAGATAGATAGATACATACATACATACATACACACACACACACACACACTGAGGATATCTTGTTTATTGGTCTCCCTACTGTCATCTATTGATGATTTCTGAGCACACTTTTCTGTCTTGTGCCTCCACCATTATCATGTGCGACCATGTGCCTAATGTCCAGTGCTTTTCTGAGCCTGTTCCTCTGGAACCTTCTTGATAAGGTTTGCAAGATTCTTGCCATTACATGTTCCCTATTCATGTGAGGTACAGACCATCTCTGCCTGAGAGTCCCTTATACTGGTGATATAGGCCATGATCTAGGAATCTGGATGCTATCATCTTCTTAACCAATTATTCAGTTCCAGGATTTTGCTTTCCATTCTTTCCCTTGACCATCAATGGATGAATTTATACTTTGCAGCTTCTTCACTCTCCTACTTTAAGCTGCTTATCATCCTCTGAGATATTGATTTCTTTTAATAGTGTTGTTGTTTCCTTGTGGGAAAGCTGAAATAGATACCAGTCAGTTATAATTTCCAGGATATTTTATATTTTGTTCGAAATTTCCAAATATATATAGGGAAAACATTTTCAAAAACTCAGTATATTGCTTTGTAAATTTCTGCAGGCCACTTCAATTCTAAAGATATCTTTTTAAAAATGCAGTTTTCAGTTGAAGATGGGAGGTGGTGGTGGTTTTCTGTACCTTAAATGATACCACATACATACATACATACATACATATGCATATATTTACTATTATGACATTTTGGATGGCTTCATTTAGTATAAACTCTCCTTCCTGAACTCCTTTTTTAAAATTTTTTTTTTAAATAATCCTGCACTTTTTTGAAATATTCACACATATTTATTTAATGTTTATTTAACTGGAATGTTTGAGATTCAAAATGTAATAGATTAGAGATAAATAATTCCACTAACAAATCAATTTGAATATTGTGGTATATTATTAATAGAAAATTGCATTTTGATCCTTTGCTCACGCAAATATATATACAATTATAACCTCTAGAGCCACCTTGATTTGGACCTGCAGCACTTAGCCTCAGAGACACTTAAATTATTAGAAGTGATTACCAAAATTATAAGAGTAAAAGATCCCACAATTAACCTTTATAAATCTTTGTCAATGAATTAATTCAATATGCAAATGTTAAAAACTAAATAGAACAAAGAATTGGAGGTCCCCATTTTCTCTGTCAAGGGGAGACTATCTTAATTTCCATCTCAAAAATGTAAATAGTTCTTAGTTTATGCCATATTTAATTAAAAATAATATTGGGTCCACTGTATTTTTACTGAAAATGAATGAGTATTCATTATGTTGTTTAAGACATGGTGAGAATAATGTGTTTCAAACACATTTTTTCAATGTCCTAAAACTGATGTATTCTGGGAAAAAGTCATATATATTAACTTGATAGCTGATTTTATAAAACTTTGTCATTGTTCCATTACATCCAGGATTCATGTACCAGGAGGATAACACACTTTTTTGTGAGAGCTTTTGTGAGAGATCCATATACAGCTGCTTCTGTACTGTGCAGTCATGAGTTTCCTACTTCGTTACCCTTCTTTTTCTCCCCAATAGAGAGCTTTTGTTTTGTTAATCCCTGTGGTGATAAAACTCCATTGTTCTGGAGACATACAGAGGGAAGAAATATCCCAGAAAGTTGGAGCTTGATCTTCATGTCCAGATCTTCAGACTGGTTGGTCAGCTCCAGAAACATGAGCCTCTCTTGGTTTTCTTATATGCTTCCAAGAACTCACTATTCCATGGGGCTGCCTTCTTCCTCCTTGGAGCCTCTTTTGCTCCTAGACAGCTGCCTGTGCCTGGTCCTCCTTGAGATGTTATTCTGCTGGCCTATATCATGGAGAATGTTCTTGTGTAATACCTTCCCTGATGAGTCTTAAAGAAAAAGACTCCTCTCTGGTCCTTCATCTACTCCAGCAAGGAGAAAAGCTTGCTTTTGCAACAGGTGTAATTAGCATACTCTTCTGGTAAGAAGACAAAGAAAATAAGGTATCTTTATAAGAGTGGATTTATTGATATAAGCGCAAGGATTCTTCCTGACAGATAGCTGCAGCGCTATCAATCAAAAGTATTATGTAATTATTGCATCTTCCTTTGTTTTTAACAAAAAATCATTGATGCAAAATAATCAGCACAGCTTTTAAATTAAGAACATGCTCAAAATGTAACACCTTGACAGCACTTCTATGTAATGATTCCATTTAAGTTTTGGGTACTCAGATATATTTTGTTTGACTTACAAAAGTGCTAGCATGGTTGAAATCTATTTGAATAGCTCTGTATATACCTCCTAAGGCTTTAGTTGCATCTGAGAAATCATAGCCTTCTTTCTGCAATAGGTTCCATCTCTCTGTGAGGTCCATTGATCTGGTCCAAAATCAATCCAATCACCAGTTGACTTGGAGAAAGTTTTTCAACATTGCTTGTAATTTTAGTATGGGACAGAGGTGAGTCTTTTTTTTTTTTTACATTTTTTACCGAAACCAAATGGATAACCAATGGTTCCCATAGGCAGAACTAGAGAAGGCAGAGTAGAGATTTCCTTCCTAAGGCTAGAAGGGCCACTTGAGGTCCTGGGACTTGTGTCATTCTGCTCCTGTGGGTTTCATTGAAATAAAACACAGAATGCTTATTATAAAGCTTTAAAGCAGCTGTTTAACTGCAGCAAGCAAGAGATTGGGGTGGTGGGTTGTCCTACACAACTGCAGTCCTTCTTTCCCCAAAGATTGCAGTGACATGGAAAATAAATCTCCCACTTTCTGCACTAATTTTCATGTAATTAATATGGTCTCCACCTGGCAGTCATTATAGATGCACTGTTCTTATGTTGTACACAAAGATAAATCTGAATAAACAGTGCTGATTCCTGTTAATTTATCAAAGTGTCACTCAACTGGCATTATAAGAATCTGATGCTGATTATTCATCATAAGAGCAAGTCTAAATAATACTCTACTTTGCTTAATTCTGGCAACAATATTCGTATAGAAAACATGGGCAAAAAGTTGGGGGAAGGGAGAAAACAAACAAGAAATGTACTATCAACAGTCAATAAACATATAAATGAAAAGGGCATAACAAAAATCAAGGAAATCATCAGGTTTTAAATTATAATTTAGTACAGTATCTGTTTCAAATGATGATTCCCTTTATGTAAATATTTGTCTTATTTATGTAAGGGAGAGTATCAGCCCACAGCTGCATTTTTGTTTCCTGTTCAGCTTCTATTGTAAACCAAATTGACGCACCATACTGATGTGCATATTGATGTTCCCTTTCTGTGAATGCCTTGATGAAGAATACAGAAGAGCAAATGAGATATGGCTTACATTTTAAGTACTTGATTGATTTCTTTGATGATCATTGCCCAAGGGCCAATCTCTATATGATTTATATATTGCTGGCAATTGAGATTTCAAATTCAAAAAGGTACATGGCCAAGCTGTATTGAATCGTCACATATCTGTTGCATTCCTGTCTGGTTCCCCGCCCCACACCAATCTTGGCTAATTTCCAGGATCAGAACTGGGGTGCAAGTACAGACCAAGGAAAGCAGTAGATGGATATTTAGTATCCCTGACCTGCATAACTCTTTTCATCTTTAAATTGTCATTCCATTTTATTTGACTTATGGTTTAGACAAGCCTGTATTTAAAGATCTGTTATTGTGTTGTATAGCATGGCTTTAAGTTAGAAGCTTAAATATCACAAATATTAGACCTAGATGGGTCTTGGCTTCTATATGATGAAAAGCAATGAGATGGAAAGTACCAGGAACAGAAGAATGTGACCATAAACGTCTCCCTTGAGACATGCCAGGAACTTTTTCACACCTGACTTTAAGAACAAAATCAGGAAGCTACCATGCTGCAAAACAGAACACCAGCTATCAACATTATCTTTTGGTATAAGAATGCTATTAGGTTCCGCATAGAGCTCATAAACTTTCTTATAAAATAAAATAGAAGGTGAGTTGGAAACATATCTATCTACTCCTCAAAAAAACAAATGTAGGGAGTGTCCTGGGAGTAACTAAAGTAGAGACAAGAAGCCCATTTGTGTGTGTGTGAATGAACAAATTGTCCTGTAGCCGCCATTTTAAGGATTCTCACAACATGCTCTCTAAATTTTAGACATGACCACCTGCCTAAAAATATTTTAAAACACATATCCACCTCCCTAAAATAGGGTTGAAGAACTTATTGACCTGGTCTTTCAGGTGTTGCTAAACCACAACTCTATCAGCCATAGTCACTTTGAGCAATGGTGAGCAATACTGAAACCACAATCAAATTTAGTTCCAAAATGGACAACAGAAACCATTATATATCATATTTATTCTGGATAAGACAGCTATAGTCAAATGAATGCAACTGAATCACAATGATGTAAATGTTAAGATTTAATTTTAGATTACAAAGCACAAAGGCTTTCAAAAGACTGATGTTTTCTATAAAAGATCTAAAAATGGCAAAATTTACCATTTCACTAAATATGTTATGTAGAGATGATGTGATGATGCACCTGGAAAAATCTCTAGTAGCAATGCTTTATATGATAGATAGATAGATAGATAGATAGATAGATAGATAGATAGATAGATAGATAGATAGATAGATAGATAGATTACAGATATGCATATAGGAGTTGAATGTTTTCCCTTATTTCTCACAGAAACTGGCAGCCCAAAATCTGACGCTGATTTCTAGGAATACCGCCACACTTTCAGAAATGAACCTGACATAAGAGTTAAAGGGCACATCTTTCTAAATCCCTCTTTCTGCCAGCATCAGACAGGGAGAAATAACCCTAACCCTAAGACAGTAGACCAACTTCTAGCTGAATTGCATTTGTTGCTATTTATACATAGGAGGGGTGCAGTATCTGCTATTGACTCAAGCTGTGCATTGGGAAATAAGCAATCCAAAACTAGAAATGATTCCCATCACCCCTGGGTATTGCCAAGCAAACAAAATAAAACCAAATACCTCTTTCTCCTCCTCTTTTTTGCCCTGGCTCTTGCTATAATTGATTGGTGTATCCCAACCTTGCTTTTCATTCAAAGCTTGGTAGAAAGTGGCATTGAGCAGAATGCTGCCTGTTTTGAAGGGAGAGGAGGAAGGAGTGGGAACACTTGCACTGGAGCAACTTAGAGAAGTCATCTTTTCTTGACTTCGGTTCTTTTTCATGCTCAAATCCAAAGTGCCATTTTCATCTACTTCTATTTCAGTTCCCTGAAACATAAGAGAGAAATGTTTAAAGAGCTGTTTGCAAAAGCACCCTAAGACATGTGGAGCTTTTAAGGGATAAGTGAAAATGCCTACTATTATTTGAATATATCTAAATCTAAAACCAGCTTTACAGTTTACACCCATTAATATTTAATTCTTAGGCAGACTTAAGTGATACCTCAATAATGCTCTTTCTGTGTTTGAATGCTTACATACTGCAAGCAGAATTGGAAAAGAGGCTTCCCAAATATAAACTGTATATACTAAATCAGAGGATATTTTTAAAGTTTAGCTTTAAATCTTGCTCATTTCATTTATAAAGAATTATGATCCCTTTTGGATCAAAGCATTAATTCATTGCTTATGAATCTTATTCTTGCATTCCTTCCTTCCCCCATACACTAGAGATACTACATTTTCATAAGAGGAGAAGAGTAAAGAAATGCAAAAGCATTTGTCCTTTTCATAGGAATGACAGTCTCACTTGAATTATAAGATCATGTTAAAGGATTATTGTAATAAATGTGGGTGGTATCCCTTTCTTAAATATAATATGTCATTGGGAATTATGAAGAACAAAATCAGATATAAGTTATTCTTGTTGGTCTGTAGCTTGGATTATGGCCAAATTATGTGTGTTTCTCCATATGATACCCTGTGCATGTTTGATATCTACAAAACTATCTTAACTGATCTACTGAAAGATTTTGACTTACTTAGGTTCGATTAGGATTTTTTAATCTGATGATCCCCAGATGTGTAAGCTAATGCCATAATTTCCTGTGGGCCCTTCTGACTGAGAATGTTGGGGAGTTAAAATAAAATACATCTCCAAGTTGGAGAAGGCAAGTCTATGTGCCAAACCAGTTAGGATTGTTGTCCCTTGCATTAATCTCAGTATCCCGTGGTGCAGAAGAAGAATGGGAAATGTCAATGCATTCTCTAATTCAGGGGTACTCAACCTATTGCAAATGACCTATATCATTTCTGGCTCTTTTTTTTTGTGGCCAAGGTAGCCCCAGGAACTATGCCACCAAAATTCAGGAGCAAACAGCTGTGCAATTGCCACTATATTTTTTTATTGGATATAGGCAAACTAAGAAGTAAAATAGGTTTTAATAAATTAAAACAACAACAACAAACAGAATGTGGAGAACAACCATTAATTCTAGGACAATATAAAGTCAATACAATACAAAATACAATACAAATTGTAGATTTGTAGAGTTGAGAAGGGGGATTCCAGTAGACAGACAACTTTTTTAAAAAAAAAATATGGATGAATGAGAAATGGAACGGTGCTTTTGCTTCATATATTCCTTTTATATAGTATTGCAAAACAGTGAAAATGTTTTAGTTACTATGATATGCAGAAATTGTTAGACCCACCCAGAGGGCTGGATTATAGGCCACTCTATGGATAGTCCATTACACTCACTCCCTGGATCCAAAACATATTCAGAAAAGACAGAGTTCTACTCTCCCATGATCTAGTGTTGGAAACACATACTGTATATACCAAAACAGTTATAATATCTGCAGGAAAGTTAGACCATTACAAGAAACTTGCCACTTTTTAAAAAATCTTTGCAGAGATTTTTGAGCTACAGTGCCTTACATTATTTACATTTTCTGGCTCATTTTCTAACAATATATTATATGAGCAGATACTCTGAAAATGATTGATATTTTAACAACTACCCAAACATAGTTTATTATTTTGTAACTTTTTTCAGGATTTATCCTGTTTGGTTGTCTTTGAGGTGAAGCTATATTTAACATTTGAAATCCAAGTGTGCAGCTGAGATTCACTGATCAGCAGGTTACTCACTAATACTCTTTGCAAAAAAGAAGAATGTGGGGCCACTTTTTACTTGGTTAAAACCCTATTTTCTTAGTAACCAACCTGCTGAACTGGTGGCCAAGCATGTGTGATGGAGCAACTAATTGTACAGCAAATACATCTATCAATCAGGGTTTATAGTTTAGCTGCATTTATAAGAACAATTCCAGTAAGGTTCTATTTACAAAGGCAGTAGCTGATTAGAGTAGGCAACACGAGGTTCACAAGTTAAGGAAGATACCAGCAAGCTAATCATAGAAATAGTTACCAGAGAAATAGTTAGCACATGGATTAACTGACTTTCCAGTTTCAGATGTCAGTTGATTTTTTTTTTACCTCACTTCCTGTATTTTCCTACTACCTAGGAGAAATTCAGGATAATTCAAGATATTATATGCCTCATATGTAACTAAAAGAGCTTAGCATTAGATTCAGTCAAAGCTGAATTTTAAGGTAATTTGGGATAGATTGTTAAGTAATGAGGTAGAATGTATCCTTCTAACCTGCTTGGTCCCAATTAAAAGATTTCTACAATGCATTTGACCTTGTTGCTCCAAATTTATGTTCCAGGTTGCTGATGGAACAGAGAAGAAAGATGAAACTGAATGACTGGGAGGACTTCCCCTTGAGATCAGACCACCATTGGTTATACCAATTACAACATCTTGGAGGGTTGCAAAGATCTTGGAAGGAGATATTTATTTTACCATTTGCTCCACCTCATCATTTCCTATTATATGATGATATTTCATGAGCTGTTTTAGATGTCTAATTGATATTTTATTGACAAGATTATTGAGTGAAATTTTTATACATCGTTCCACCCTCAATTTCTGTTAAATAGCATAACCTATTTGTGAAGGACATCATCATTATTTCTTACCACCATCCCTTCTCTTTAAGTAAAGCCCCTTACCCTTCTGTTGACCCCACGTTCCTTCAATCTACCTGTCTAAAATTTGCCAAGAATATTCTTTCCCATAAGAGCCCCTTTTACTACAAACTTAATGATATTCTGTCTCAAAATATAAATGCTACCAATTTTCTTAAAATATAATATTGTAATATGATACTTGGGTAAGGTTCTAGAAATATCAGCTCTCTTGCCTTCCTTGGAAAAAGCTGAAAACAATCGGGCCAATTACTTCTCTGTGTGCAAATGAGAAACAACATTCACATTTTTAATCCCTCATTTTAAAGAGAGATATACTTCATTATATTTATGGGAAGTAAATATACTTATAATATGTTCATACTAAGATGCTTTCACTATATCTTTCTGTCCCTTTTTAGTAAATAATTTAATCTCCTGTGATAGTTTTAAGCTCTGAATTTGCCAGTACAGCTTATCCCGGATAATAACTTAGTAACCACATCTTATGCCATCTGTATAAAATCAAATACAGTTTTATATCAGCATTAATAAACCTTACTTACAAAAATCCAAGATATTAACTGTATCATTGCCAGCTGAACTTTCCAGGGCCTGACTGCATTGCCATAATTACCCTTGTGTTTCTTTGGCTTCATGGTTGATATATAAGTGCAGCCATGAAACAGAGCTACAAGTAATCAAGTTTAATAACCACTGTAAAGTAAAACGCTAAATATTGTAGTTGCAAACATTTTTCATAATAAAAAAACTTGGGTTAAGTCTGCCTGACCAACATTCACATAAAATGCCAGACCTCTGTGACAGATGGCTTAGGAGAAGATGCCATGTGATAGGGCTGCAGTAGTTTTATAGTGAAAAAAAAAATCCATAAATAGTGCAGATTTTCTGTCACTAAATAAAATACCAGCTATAGAGAAGGCAGAGACAACAGCAAACAAATTCCATAAAACAGTCAAAGTCTTCTCAAATTAAATCACAGATCCAAATATGTTAGGAAACACATCTGACGATTGGGAACCAAGCCGTATTTAACTGAACCAAAAAGGTCTGGTTGGAAGACAATTCATACTCAGAGACGTGGAAATTCTTGATTTTTCCTCCTTTTTTATATTGGTTTTACTGCTTGTGTTTTTATCATTGTTGTTAGCTGGCCAGAGTTGTGTGCCACAAGATGGGTGGCCATATAAATCTTTTTAAGTAAATAAAATAAATAAAGTAGTTTTCTTCTGATGTGTAAGCACTGGTGAACACAAACATAATTCTGATCAGAAAGTTATGCATTTGCAAAAGAGGGCAGTTAGCATTTAAGTGAGCTCACAGTTGAACACAGTGATCAAATGGAGGAATGAGTCTTATGCTTGCAGGAAGATGGACCCCATGTTTACATGACAGCTCTTGATTTATAGCATTATACCATTCATCTAACTTTTTCTACAGTCACAGCAAATGCCAAAGGAATACTGCTATAGAATTCATCTTGCTTTCTCATGAATTGATCTTTTAATCATATTGTCAAGATATTTTAAACAATGATTACTAAAAGAGGATGGATACTTAATCAAAAGAAAGAATGCCTGATTTTGTTGTAGTTTTTATTTTCATCCTGCCAAAATAAAGGTGTGCTTCGATGGCTCTAGAAGGTAAACTTTGAAAAAAAAAAAATCACATGGGGCAACTCTTTGATCCCTCCCCAACCAATAAATTTAATGTATAGAAAACCAACATCTCAGGAAAATGGATAGGCAAAGTTACTTTTCTGTCATGTTAGGATTTGATAGGCAGAATGGTTGACAGAACAGGTGAGTGTTCTATGTATTGGCTGTATTCACACAACATACTTTACCTGGTTTCTAAATTAATTCATTTTCTGAGTTCATTTAACATATTGGACTATAATATAAATCAGTGCTTCTCAACTTTGGCAACTTTAAGATGTGTGGACTTCAGCTCCTGGCCAGCATTCCCCAGCCAGCATTCTGGGAGTTGAAGTCCACACATCTTAAAGTTGCCAAGGTTGAGAAACCCTGATATAAATGATTGGGTTCATATGATGGGTCACAAACAAAGAAACAAAGAAACAAACAAAAACCCCTTAACCAAGATTAACACTAATTAAGCTGCTTAGTAAATTGTGCAAATGTGTCACCTAGTTTTACTTAATCTGGTTAAGAATGTTGTCTCACTGTTACACTGAAGTCATATAGTCCTAAGAGAGCTGAACATGAACTAGCTGAGCTACTTCTACTTTATTGTAAGGCTACATTA